GCGCAGCACGAGGGGCTCCGACTCGACGACGGGATCGGCGGGTGGCACCGCCTTGCTCGGGAGGTACTCTAGCGGCCACACCTTGCTCCCGTGCTTCTCACTCTCCGCCTTGGCCGCCGCGGCGGTGTCTGTGAGCGTGGTCTCGAGCTTCGCACGGGCGACGTAGGAGAGGGCGGCGGTGAGCGACTCGGTGTCGCAGTCGGCGCGCGGCCGCACGGTGAAGAGCTGGCTCACGCGGCCGTAGACGCGACCAGAGCGGGACTCCCCCATGGTTCAAAAGGTGAGAAATGGGATTTATTTTATTTATTTTTCATGAAAATAAATAACGCACGGGCCCTCAGCGGAGCTGGGAAAAGGACCGCCGCAAGCGGCGTGGCGTGGAGCGGTTGTGCATCCCTCCGGGGGCCCCTCTGCGCCGGGGAGGCGTTGTTGGAGGCTAGGACGCAAGCGTCCGTCGCCCTTTTCAAACTCGGGGCCCACTCCGCTACGCTCCGACCCGAATTTGGAGGGCCTAAAAGTTTAAGGTGTTGCTGCGCAAAAGGGGTCGGACACCGGGCGCAGCTCATGCTAAGAGCTAGAAGAGGAGATAGAGAGAACAACCACCCTGTCCCGTTATTGCGTACACCAACACCACAAAACGCTCTCTCTCTCCTGTCCTCACTCAGGGGGGTCACAACTACCAAGTCCCTCGACTAGCTGCCACAGGGCGCAGCTGCCACAGGGCGCAGCTGGAGACGCTCCCCCTCAATCGGCATCCACCCCCACCCGCTCCAGCCCCACTTCTGCTGCCGAGAGAGCTGAATCGAAGCAAGCGAGCCATTGCATCTTGGCGTGCTCCTGGAGCGCGGCTTTCTGCGGCCACGAGCACGGCGGAGTCGGCGTCGTAGCGCGCATCGTTCCCGCTCATCGCCCATTCCTCCCGTGACGTGTGTCGGCCGCGATTCGATGTCGCCACCTTCATCGCCAACGAGGACTCCCTCGACTGCAGGGGGGCTCCGGCGCGGGGAGGGACTCCGCCTGCTGCGCTGGCCGACTGCGCCCTCCTCCTCCATGGGATCGATCCGATTCCGCAGCGGCGGTGCTGCGCGGGAGGCGGCCGCGGGCACGCTGGGCTCGATCAGCGGCTTTCCCCTCAGGTAGCGCGAAGAGCACGGATTTGGCGGACGTTCTGCTTTCAACTTTACGGATGTCTTGGCACCAGCTGAAGGCTTGCATCCCTGCATCGCCCAAATAAATAAATAAAACGGACACCTCTACTAGGAGATGGGTAAAAAGGAACAGGTCCCCGCCCTGCGATCTTTGTGCAGGTCGCCCAGTTCGTGCACGGTATTCGGATTTTGCTATTTGTTCGTGTGGGGGTATATTGCAGATTTGTCAATGGTACCGCGTCTGCGACGCGGGCGCCTTGCGGGCAGAGCCCTTAGCCACCCTTTTATCTTGCGCGGTCATAAAAGAGGCTCCTACCACACACGTAGAGCTAACCTCTAATCACACTTCCAGACCGACGCCTCGCCGACGCTGTCTCGCTCGTCCGGCGCGGAAGTTCTCTCGGGCGGCGGGGCGGGCCGGCTCCGGTACATCTCCACGCACGCGTGCACCAGCGGCGCGTTCGTCGCGGCGGCCAGCAGCAGGCTGACCGCGCCGCCGACCGACGCCGGCAGCCCCACCCGCTCGACCGCGGCCGTGTTTGCGACGGCGAGTGGCAAGATGAAGGCGGCGCTGGCGTGGCCAAAGATGAAGAGCGAGGCGCTCTGCAGCCCGATGGACAGGTGGCTCCGCCAGAATCTCCGCAGGCCCGCCGGCCCGTCGCACGGCGGTAGGCGCGACCCCTGCTCGAGGCTCCATCCGGCGAGCAGCGGCATGGCGCACGCGACGAAGGTGACCATATACATGCCGAAGGCGAGCTGCGTGGCGAGGCTGGCGTGCCGGAACCAGCTGACGGCGAAAAAGAAGAAGCCGATGCCGGGCAGCACCACGCCCGTCGCCATGACGCGGTACGGGACCAGCCCGCGCTGCCGGCTGAGCGACGAGAGCACCTCGCGCATGATCTTGCCGCGCACCATCCGGTTGAACGATTCGATCCCGCCGTACCTGATCGCAGTCCGGGCGCGCTGAACGGACGCACCTCTCGCCACCTCCCCGCCGCGCGCGCCGCCCGCCGCACATGCGCTCGATCGCGACGACGATCTCCGCCCGGTCCGCCTCGCAGTAGCAGCGCGCCGACCGCGCGTCGAAGGCGGAGAGGTGCTCCACGAGCGCGCTGCGCTGGCGCGCAAAGTCGTGCCCCGCGACGGCGGAGCCTCCAAACACGACGGCGGAGCACGAGAAGGAGGCGGCGTAAAAGGTGCCGATCCCAAAGGGCGCGACGTAGGGGTAGATGCCGACGTACAGGCCCGCGCCGAGGACGAAGAAGGAGGCGAGCAGCGCCGTCGCCACCGAGAGCCGGAGCGGGTGCAGCTGGACGGGAGCCTGAAGGCTCGGGGAAGCGGAATCCAGAGAGGGAGGTCCAACGGGAGGGGTCGGAGCCGGAGCGGGTGCGGCTGCGCGCGCCTCGGGGTGGACCGCCTTAAAGACGGCGATCTCGTAGATGCACCAGAGGCGGCGGAAGTAGCTCTCGTCCCACAGCACGACCAGCTTGCTCGAGCGGGAGAGGAAGCCGCCGAGGTGGCGGATCCCTCGCAGCTTGAGGTCGTGATCCGTCTGGTGGATGCACAGGCAGTCGACGAAGTAGCAGCGGCGCGTGAGGAGCGCCGGCGCGGCCGCGAAGCTGAGCAGCGCGAGCAGGTTTGCGGCGAGGAACTCGTACGGGGAGGTGACCTGCGGCAGCAGGAAGAGCGGCGAGAAGGCGGCCTCCACGACGAAGTTGCCGGGTAACAGCTCCTGCCGCCGGTGCTGCAGCAGGTAGACGGCGAAGCCTCCCGCGGCGGCGGCGGCGAGTGAGATGCGGCTCACCTCGGCGAAGAGCAGGGAGAGGTACTTTTGGTACCCGGGCGAGCTCCAGCTGTGAGAGACGAAGGCGTCCAGCCTCTCGACTGGACGCGAGCGCGCGTACAGCGCCGCCTTATCCGCCGCGTCCAGGCGCTCGGGGTGGTGCCGGAAGGCGGAGCCGAAGCGAAGGAGCACGGCGGCGAGAGTGGCGCCGCGCCGGATGTCAGTCGGAAGGGCAAGGCCCGTGTCCGTCGAAGCCCGGAAGCCGACGTCCAGGCTGCGGAGCGATTGTCGCCAGGAGTCGGCGTTCCGCTCGGCCGAGCTTTTCCGTAGGAACTCGGGCCGGAACGGCGTGGACTGCATTGGCGCCAGCGCGCTGAGTGGCAGGGTTCCGGCTCCTACCCGGATAGGGGGTCTGTGCCCACTGGCTGGCCCCTCCCAGATAGGTAGGTAGGTTGGTCGTGTTTGGCCCAAAAGGGCCCTGCAATAGGTAGGTACCCACTATTTTCATCTTTTTTCGCTTCGCTGCGCGGCCTGGGGATAGGTAGGTAGGTAGGGCGTTTTGGCGCGAGTCAGTGGGAACAGACCCCTATCCGGGTAGGAGCCGGAACCCAGAGTTTTGTGCACTGCTCGGGCCGGCGAGGTTTGTTTTTCTTTTTACTCCATTCTCCAAAGAACTGCATCTTTTGTTGAAGCGGCATAGAAACATGAAGCGGCCATGCGTGCCCTGCGGTGCATACTGCGACGCCGAAGGTCCGGTGCTCCGTATATTCCGCCTCCGAGCATACCCGAGGCGTTCGCGAAGCGGAGCTTGAGACCCTCCGCCAGGATGTTGGCGACATTGCCGTCTGTGCGCGTGCCATGGAAGAGCAGCGCGTCGGATAGGCGATTGGGGTTCGGGTCAGCGTCGGCCCCGAGCTGCCCGCGTTGAACGCGGTGAGAGACGTTTCGTGGCATACTGCCGTGATCGACTCGAGCTGTAGCGTCGACCCACAGCGCCGTGAGAAAAGCTGGCGCACGGCTTGCTCGGTGCTCCACGAGCCCGCCAGTGCAAGCCACCTCTCCGTCAGAGGTCCGCGCGTTGGAATCGGCATTCTCTGCCATGGCTGCGGCGGAACAATCTTCCGGACGCAGCGCGTTGTGCCAATGGACATAGAGGCGGCATATTTGTTCGTGCCGAGTGTATACGCACTGACTGATACGTCTGCAATGTGCGCAACAGTTGCACTGCGTTCTGGTCGAGGATCGGCCTCCAGTTGCCACTGCCCCGATGCCCGTCCTCAAACTCAAAGCCGTCCCGGGCGGAGAGCTGTTGCTCGGCGCTAAGGCGCTTGCTGATCGCCGCTGTCTTGCGTTGCTGCAGATCAGCGACTGAACGTTGCGAGAGAACGTTGCCACGCACGGCATCGAGCGATTGCTCGGAACGCCGTTGTGCCGCTGCTGCCATGCGCGCCGCTTGCTCGGCACGCCGTCGTGCCGACACCTCCTTTGCCAGCCGCTCACCCACATCAGGCAGTGGCGCTGCAGCTTCCACTAGTTCTGCACGACGGGCGGCCCGCTCGTCGCGAGAACGCACGAGTTAAGTGCTTTCGGCAGCAGGCTGACTGAGCCGTCTGCGCGGATCAGAACGATCCGGCGCATGCTCACTTGCCCGCTTGCCGCTGCGCAAATCTGGCATCGTGGTCAAGTTGACCGATGACCGATCCGCGATCGTGGACGCGCTGAACAACTCTCGTCTGCGATTAGCGCGAACAGCGGTTTTGCGTGAACAGCGCGATTCGTCGCTCTCCCTGTCCGCACCTCACGCGCGCGTGAACAGGGTACTAGGCCCCCAAACTCACTTATAATCCTGGCGGGCAAAATTAAAAAGAGAAATAAATAGAACCCTCTCTCACAGCCCACTAGGTAGGTAGGTAGAAAGGTGAAGAACAGCCAGGCTCGGACTGGACACCAACAGATTTGCCAACAACATACCTAAAACAGCACACTGGCACGACAAGGGCGCAAACCAGAGAGAAGATGGGACAAACGGCGTAACACGATTGGCTCCTTGCGCCTGTCTGAGACCAAGGCCCCGGCCGCGGCACGCCTTACCGCTGCGGTTGCCACAGTTCGGCAATACGAGGCTCGCCGTGCCCAGCATGTTCCAGACGGTTGAGATCGACATGCCTCCCGGTGACGCGTCCGCGTCCGAGGCGCCGTCACGGCTCGCGCTGCGGAAGAGCCAAGCGCAAGCCGCCTCCTCCTCCTCTGCGGGTCTCAAGGAGACCACCGACCGAGGACAGAGCTTCAGTGTGGACCGAAGCACCGAGTACGAGCCTCCGCCGCGGCCCCGCACGCGCACGGCTAGAGGGCTGGCGTGTTGCCTGCCTTGCGTGCCAGAGCGCCGCCGCCGAAGCGTCTGCTGCTGCCTGCTCGCGCTGTGGCTGCTATGGTGCGTGGGCGGCGGCGCTTTTGCTGCAGCCATGATCATAAAGCTAACGACGGAGCTGGACTTTGTGCTGTGCGAGGTGAGCGCCTGCGTGCCCGGAGACAAGCACTGCGAGCCGTGCACGGACCCGGACGACGCGTGCTCCTCGCGGCTCGACACCTACTCCTCCGAGACGCTCGCCTTGCCGATGAACATCACGTACGCCGTGTACAACCCCATCTTTATCGGGTACACCGTCGAGCGGCTCGTCATGCTGACCAGTCTCGACCCGATCCCGCCCCTCTCTGCGGCAGAGATGCTCGACCTCGACCCGCTCGAAGCGCACGAGATGGGCATTCCGATCGTCTGCGAGTCGTGGCGCGCGAGCTACACCGCCGGTTGGGGCGAGGAGCTCTCGATGCGCTGCATGTCCAGGCAGGACGCAGAGACGATTGGGCGGCTGAATGCGGCGCAGCAGGGGACGAGCGACGAGGAGTTCAACGTGCGCGTCGCGTTTCGGACCAAGCTGCCGGTCGTGGGGTGGAACTTCCAGATGGCGCAGGACGCGTCGCGGTACGCGGACTCGTTCAACTTTGCCGACCCGGACCAGGACCCCGCGGGGCTCGCCTCGTGCTCGAGGGTGTCGGGCGTCAAGTTCGGCGCGCCAGAGAACGTGCTCGCCCTGTACGACTTTGAGAACTACAAGGTGTCCGTCTGCGCGCCCGAGTTTGGCGAGTTTGCGCAGCTGATCGCCGACACGAGCGGCGACCTGCTCTGCATGACCGCGGGGTCGTGGCTGCCGCCCTGCTGGTGGACCGACACGGACGGGAGCGGCTCGATCAGCCTCGACGAGACCTTCCACAGGCCGCTCAAGGTGTCTGCCCATACTTGCGTGACCGGACCTTGCCCCACACGCTAGCCCCTTCGCCCCATGCTCGCCCCTCGCCCCAACACCGGCCCGTGACATGCTGCGGCAGGTCACGATCCCGATCGAGATGTACAACAGCGCCGGATTCAACCTCACTCTCAACATCAACGGCTCTGCCGCCCGCGTGCAAGAGGAGGACACGGGCGACTATATCGCGACCGGCTACCTGCACGAGACGGTCACCATCCCTCCGCGCAGCACGAAGATGATCTACTACTACTCAGACATCCGCGACTTTATCAAGCGGTACGCGAGGGAGAACGGCCTCGTCTCGCTCACCGCCCACTCCTTCGACAAGGTGCTCAACTCGCCGGTGGTGCTCGACATCATCTCGCGTGCCACCATCCTCGGCACGACCTATGACCAGGAGTTTGCAATCTCGCACACCTCCCTCATCGGCCTCGCCTCCCTCTCCGGCTGCCGCTGCGAGGTGGGGCCCGATCCGAAGGAGTGCCGCACCAACGCCTCCACGTACGCCGAGCAGACCGCCGCCAACTTTGGAGCGGGCCGGCGGCGCTGACCTGGGGTGAGGCCCTCGTCCGCTCGTCGTGGGAGCCCTTTGCTCGAGCCCTTTGCACCAGGGGACTCCCGAGGAGAGAGTAGGCGAGTTCTGGCCGCTCTGGCAATACCATCGTGGGCCTTGTGAATGTATTAGTCCCATCCTTGTCTCTCTCTCCTTGACCTTGTAAAGTCTTAGCTGTACGAAGGAGAAGAGGGATGCGGGTCTGTGTCTCTCCTTATATTTCTGAGGGAGGACCTGCAAACGCGGCCGTCCATGTGGACCTTCAAGTACAAGGGAAAAGAATTTTGGGAAAAGAAACAAAGATGCGCGTGAGTTCCCGGAACGTACGAGTTAGCGCGCCGAACGGCGCGGGTACTCACATGCGTCGCCTGGCCAGGCCTGCCGCTGCTCTCGCATTCGCGGCGCGGAGAGCTGCCTGTTCCGCCAGCCAGGACTCTCCCGCCAGCATACACGCCTACACGGCCACTCGGCTGGATGGAAGGTGTCGGCAAGCCCTGCCACAGCATCCACATCGAAGCTGCCACAACCAGCTACTTCGGGCACCACGGACTACCTTGTCGGTAAGGACGCTTGCCCTAACAATTACGGCGCAGGCGTTGCGGGCACTACGGGCACTATTATGCGGGCCTACGAAAAGCTTCGAACGTCCATTGAACCTTCTGATGGCGATGCGTTTGTTGGTACCAACAAATGGGTCGTCGGCAACAAAGATGGTGCAGTTTGCCTCCCGGAGATGGAATTGTACGATGTGTGTGAGATGAAAAAAGCCCAACCCGACAACCCGGCGCCGATGGGCCCTTATTATGAGTACATCGGCACGTGCTTGACATCTCCGCTCAAGAGCGGGGCCAGCTATACCTTGACGATGGACGTGGCTGTACCCGGAGATCCCGACATTTCCCCCGGCGGTGACACAAACGGCGACAGCGAAGTGCTGTGCGTCGAGAGCTGCAGCTCATTGCCCCTCATCGGATCACACGACCACATGGGAGATCAATTCCCCGTCTTAGCATCAGCATCGCCTGGCGGCGGGCTACAGATGAAGGGTGGGTGGAAGGCGCTGACGTTTTCCTTCACACCCGACCTTGACTGCGCGGCAGTCATGTTCGGACCATCGAAATCGCAATCTGAGAATTCATGGGGCGGAGATGGGTCCTACGTCTTTTACGATGCAGTGAATTTGCAAGGTGGCCCGGCAGGCGTGTGCAACGCAAAAGGAGAATGTGTACCGACGAATAAGTGAGGCCGCACTGGGCCTTGCACTTCGAATGAATGCCGTGTGGCTCCTGCCTCTCACTGTCTGGTAGTGGAGTTGCGAGGGCAGGGGAGAGGGTTGCCCCCACCCCCCACCACACCACTGGACTGTGTGTGTGTGTGTGTGTGTGTGTGTGTGTGTGTGTGTGTGTGTGTGTGTGTGTGTGTGTGTGTGTGTGTGTGTGTGTGTGTGTGTGTGTGTGCGTGTGGAGAAATTTACCTTGCCTTACCTCACGCACTTGGGCACGTACGCAGCTGCACGTACGTTCACTCCTCGTGCGGGACACTCACACTCCGGCGTGTGAGGCTCTCGCGATTTCACCGACGCGAGGTGTCCCCGCTCCAAGCCCCGGTGCGCGTGGCCGTGGGTGCGGGTCGAGGACCCGCGGCCGCGCGGAGAGAAAAAAGGGGAGAAAATTAGGCGCGGCGTATACGTTAATTTACGGAGTGGGGTGGTGGGAGATAAAGTATCCATGGAGATATCAGATTACGATATATGGGAAAATTTTGCTTTTTGGAAACTCCAACAGCAACAACTCGCCGGTGTGCGCGCGGTGAGCCTGAGCGGTGTGCATATAGAGCTCTAGAAACTTTTGATTCGACATTCCGATGGCGCGGGGCACCTGCGCAGTATAACTCCTACCGCTAGAATAAGTGACAAAGAAAGCACAAACTTCAGACCCCGGTTGGTTCCGACGCCCGCGCTTCAGGCCACGCCGCAGTGCGGGCCCGGCGACCAGCGACCACGCGCCCCGCCACAGCAGCCGACAGCCCCCCCCCCCCCCCCCCCTCTCCTCCGACCTCCCCACTCCCAGCCGCCGCCGCCCCAGCCCCAGCCACCCGCCGTCACGCCGCAGGCTCGTCGTGCGGCTTCTCGATGGTGACAGCCCGCTTGCCGGTCGGCACGAGGACCGAGACGCCGAGCTTGGTCGTCGAGAGCGAGTAGCCGTCGATGTTGAGCTCGAGGTTTGGCCTAGTGCAAGCGCGTCACGCCTCGAGCATGTGCCAACGGTGCTTCCCCGTTCGACACGGGCCCGCTGACGGGCTTCTCAGAAGCAGGGAGAGGAGCGGCCGACGCGCAAGAAAGGGTCCCGGCGCATCGGCATGGGGGCCACAACTCCAATCTCGGCCAATCTCGGCCGACCTCTGCTCGTCTCGGCTAGTCTCGCGCCGGCGTGTCGGCGTGGGCCCCTCCTGCTCCCTCCGCAGCTGCGTCATGTGCTCCGAAGTGAACAAGCCTCCGCTGCCGCCCAAGAGCCCTCCGTGACGGTACCCCGCCTCGCCGCCGTACGGCATCGGACCCTCGCCCAAATACCCTCCGCCGCCCATGCCCCCCATGCCGCCGCCGCCCAAGTAGTGCCCCTCGCCTGCGTACGGGTTCTGCACCAGCCCGCCGAGCGGCGAGGGCGACATGCCGCCGCCCATGCCTCCGCCGCCCATGCCTCCGCCGCCCATGCCTCCGCCGCCCATGCCTCCGCCGCCCATGCCTCCGCCGCCCATGCCTCCGCCGCCCTCCCAATGCGCCGCCCCTCCCTGCACGTACGTCCCCTCGGAGAAGGTGGGCTGGAAAGCCGCCGCCGAACGGTTGAGCGGCTGGCCGGCCGACGGCGACGGCGACACCTATCCACGAGCCATCCCGCTCCTCAGCTCCTCCAGTCAGCGGCGCAACAGCCGAAACGGCCGTCGTGCGGCGGCGCCTGTGCGCCCGGCAGGACGGGCGAGGGTGGCACGGCGCCCGGCAGAGACAGCGCCGCGGCGCCCGCCTCCATCGGCGCCGCCGCCGCCGCGCTGCTCGCTGCCGGGCACGCCGCAGCCGCCACCGCAGCGCCGGCACTCCGGAGCCACTCTGGAGTGCGCTGCGCAGAGAGCGAGATCACCCCCCCTCCTCCCCCGGCACTGGTGCACGCGGCGAGGTGCGGCGCCACGCAGAGCAGCGCCTGCGCGGCCGAGATCCCGCCCGCGCCAGCCCCACCCGCGGCCTCTCCCGCCGCCGCCGCTGCCGCCTCTGACGGCGAAGGCATGGGCGGTGCCGCCCCGCCGCCCTTTCCGCCGCGGCGGCCCTTGCCGCCCTTACCGCCGCCCTTTGTGGGAAGCTGCGGCGGCGAGGATCGCGCCGCGTCGGCCACCGCCTCCGGCACCTCCTTCAGCAGCGGGTGCTGCGCGCCGGCGGCGGCAGGCAGAGGCGCAGCGCCGTTCTGGCGGGCGTGGCCGCCCTCCTCCTCCCAGCCGCTGTCGCGAGCGGAGGAGGAGCGGCCGGAGCGACGCGAGGAGCGGCTCCTACCAGCCAACCGTCTCTCGAGTCACGGGGCGGCTGGCCGAGGGCGCGGCCAGGCGAGGCGGAGTGCGCGCCCTCGGCTGCTCCGGCCCTCGCCCTTGCCGCGCCCCTCGCCCTTGCCGCCTCTGCTGCCGCGGCTGGTGCGATGCGGCCGCGGCTCCTCGCGCATGAGCTCCTCGAACTTGTCGTGCGCCCACGGCAGCTCCTCCTCCTTCTTGCCCCGCCCTTCCTGCCGCGAGCGCCGCCGGCCGCCGCCGCCGCCGCCGCCCATCCTGTCGTCGTGCATAAAGAAGGCTCCCTTGGTGGGAACCGCGACGTTCACCGCCTCGCGGTCGTCACGCGCGTCGTGCTCCTCGTCGTCAAAGCTCTCCTGCGCCGCCTCCCCGAACTCTTCGTCCACCGCCGCCTCGTCAGCATCCTCCTCTTCGCTCTCGTCGTCGTTTGCATAGTCCGTCTCGTCGGCCGCCTTGCCGGCGTCGGCGTCCTCGCCGTTGAGGGCCTCCTCGCCAGCGCTGTCCGCGTCCGAGTCCTCAGCGGGCTCCGCGACTCGCCCGTCCTCCTCCTCGTCGTCGGCAGTGCGGCGCCGACCCGGCATCGAGACGTGACGACAACGTACTCGAGTAGCACGCGTTTTCTTTTGTTTGTATTTTTAAAGCGTTTTCTTTTGTTTGTACGTGAGGAGGGCGTCCATAGACACCTCACAAGACCCCACACACGGTCTCGTCCGTGCCTCGCCGGGCGGCGAGATTGCTAGAGGTGGAGCAAGCCTGCTCTAGCCTCGCATGTTACTTCCTGTCGTCTGTTGTGTTGTTGTGCCCTTGTTTGTGTCCTTGGCACCGTGGAATGCTGGGGGGGGCGACAGGGAGGATGTGGCCCTGAGTTATGTGTACGCCAACTCAGGGTGTGTGGCAGCCAGCTGGCTGTGATGTGTCTTGTGAGCCTGTTTGTGTCTGTGTGTCGCTCGTGCGTGCCGTCATCATCTGTCCAGCGTCCACCCATACCGCGTTGGTGTCCAGTCCGAGCCTGGCTGTTCTTCACCTTCCTACATACATACAGTAGCTGAAAGAAAGTTCCCCCAGTCCCGTGCCCAGTGTCGTGCGAGGGGCGCTGCTACGTTACAAAGTTCTTTCCGCGCCCTTTTTCTGTTTCGTGTTTGGACGATTTGTTCCGCCACCATGGCTCCCTCGGTAACGTGGTTGGCTTTTAGATCAATGTTGGCTTCCCCGGAGAGATCCGGAGCGACGCGCTGCCGCTGGCCACTTCACTGGCCGACTCACACTGTCACTCACCGAAGGGGGCGGCACACACGTGACCAAACTTGGCGCGCATCCGGTCGCTGATCTCGAAGCCGCCGCCGGCGCCGCTCCTCCCGGCGAACACCTCTTTGAAGAGCCACCGGTAGTGCTGCACGCGACCGTTGGACGCGAGGCCTCGCAGCTTCGACTCCCGCTGCCCCTCGTGCGAGTACTCCTCGCTCTTGCGCAGGGTGAGGGCGACGGCCGCCTCGGTGAAGCGGTAGTGCGAGAAGGCCCAGCGCAGGTAGCGGAGCGCGAGGCCTCTCTTGAGGGAGGCGGACGATTTGAAGGCGACGCGCTCGCCCCGCGCATCGGTCGCAGGCAGCAGCATCCACTTGTCCTCGTTTTCCTCCCACGCGCACAGCGTGAAGCGGCAGCGGCGCGGGTACTGCGCGCTGAGCGAGCGAGCGCCGAGAGGCGCGACGGCAGGCATGGACCAGTCGGCCGCGACGCGGTCAATCATCGTGCCGCGCACGGCGAGACCGCGCGGGTCTGCCTCCAGCTCGGCCAGCAGCTCGCACGGGAAGGCGAAGAACTCGTCCGAGTCGGCTCGCATGAGGTACCCGCTCGCGGGCACCTGGCGGAAGTAGGCGGTGGCGAGACTCGTCTTGATCGTGGACGACCAGGTCTCGAGGAACATCCTCGGCTGCCTCACGCCGTGCACGCGGAGCGCGGCGAGCGTCTCGTTGAGGCCGCGACTGCCCTCGCAGTGCGGCGCGTGGAGCACGAGCATTGCCCGTGAGGTGAGATCGATGCCGAGGCGGGAGTAGTGCTCGAGCCAGTGCGGCAGCAGCGGATCGATCGCCGCTCGAGACACGGCGAGCATGGCGAAGAGGTGGGTGGACGCAGCGACCGCGTCGGGCAGCCGCTGCAGCTCGCAGCGGTCAGCGTGGCCCCAGCGTAGCCGGTCGCAGCTCGCTCCGAGGTGCAGTGGGTAGTTGCAGCGGGTCGAGCGGACCGTGACTGGGCACGCGCGAGTTGTGTTGCTGTGATTCATTTTGAGGACGGTGGAAAGGCACCACTTCAGGCGCTGTCCACAGGTCACAACTGACCTCTCACTCACTCACTCACTCTCTCTCTCTCTCTCTCTCTCTCTCTCTCTCTCTCTCTCTCTCTCTCTCTCTCTCTCTCTCTCTCTCTCTCTCTCTCTCTCTCTCCTCTCTCTCTCTCTCTCTCTCTCTGTGTGTGTGTGTGTGTGTGTGTGTGTGTTACGCTCTGGCGAGACGTGAGGCGCTTGCGCCCAGGAGGGGCGGAGGGGGGGAGGGCATGCGTAACGACGCTGCTAGAGATGCCTTTCGGGGCCCAGAGATAAATCTGATGCCATGCGTGACCTAGTAGTGTCCCCAGCTGCCCGGTATGGGCGTGTCCACGTTGGAGCCAGGTGAGAGACTCTTCTCTTGCCAGGTGCCGGTGTGTGGACGCGAGAAACCGTGAATAGCTCCGCCGTTCATTGCACATTGGAGGCAACCGATGCGAGTCGGCTGGTGTGTGTCGTCGTGGTCTCGGAGAGAGAGGGAGAGATTTTTGAAAACCTTTCTCTCTTCTTGGTTTCGTATCCAGAATACTCAAAAAATGAATACTCACTCACTCTGTTTGGGGTAGATAGACAGAAAGAAAGGCGAAGAACAGGGTTCGGACTGGACACTTCGCGGGTCCTCCTCCCCCATCCCTCGTTTGGGTTGTCTGTTTTCTTTCTTTCTTTCTTTACACTTCGAGGTAAAAGAAAAAAGCTTGCCCGGTCGATCCGTCAAAGGACAAAGCGATACACTCGTTCCTATCACGTTGGCACGCACGGTCACACGGAGCTTAGGCACAACTGATCTCTCACTCACTCACTCTCTCTCTCTCTCTCCTCTCTCTCTCTCTCTCTCTCTCTCTCTCTCTCTCTCTCTCTGTGTGTGTGTGTGTGTGTGTGTGTTGTGTGCCGGCACACAGGAAGAGAGCAAAGCCCATGCAGGGCCGGGGGGATGCGATGAAGTCAATGAAGTCAAGCTCTGGACGCCCCTCCTCAAGACCTCCTCGGCGGGCGTTGGCAACGCCTCGAGCGGCGGCACGCCCGCCTCCGCGTTGGCCACTCCTACGCCTTCGGCAGCACCGAGGAGAAGGCCCGCCGCCTAAACATGGGCTGCAAGGCGCGCGGGCAGCCCGGCCAACCCTTCTCCCACAAGAACGGCCACGGCTACGTCAAGGCGCATCGCGGTTTCTACCACGACGCGATCTTTGTCAAGCGCAACAACTTCAACCTGCTGCTCCACGAGACGTTTGGCGGCGGCTTCTCGCCCACCCCTGTTCTCAAGCTTCGCCGCCTCGCGCGCAAAGTCGCGCGCGGCAGCGTCGACCGCAGCCACGGCCTACTCGCCCAAGTACTCGCTCTCTTTTATGTCCCACCATGCAGAGCGCATCTCTCTCTCTGTTGTGCGAGGCGTGAACCGCGCCATTCGCTCTCACCTGGCAACCCTGTCTGCACGTCTCGCGCGCGCGTGAACAGGGCTCCAGGCCCCAAATGATGTGTGTGTGCGTGTTAGAGTTGTTTGGTATTGAAAAATCTCTCTCAGGAAGAGCCGTCCGTGCGTGCGCGGTGCGGCAAGAAAGAAGGCATCCAGAAGCGCCAGATCCTAGTGCCGAAAGTCTGGTGGCACTTTCACGCTCAATCGCCAGCGGCCCCCACATCCCTCGAGCGCAGAAGCTCGGTTTCACGGTAGGTAGGTAGGTAGAAAGGTGAAGAACAGCCAGGCTCGGACTGGACACCAACGCGGTATGGGTGAAGAACAGCCAGGCTCGGACTGGACACAATGCGGAAGGGGTGGAAAAGAATGCACAGGAAACAAAAGAAAACTAAACGCGGACGTTGAGCACTCTCGTCGTCGTGTCGGAGGCCGCCATCTCCGCCATGCCGAGACGGCAACTCTTGCTCGGCCTAGCTGCGCCCGCATTGGCCGTGACGGCCGTTCCCGCGCTTACCGCTCCGCCATCCGCTTCGCTCGCCGTGCACGCCGCGGCGAGGCAAACGCACTCCTTCTGCGAGGCAGCGTGTGGCTCGGCGGCGGCTCGGCAGCGTGCGGTGCGGTGTGGGCGCGTCGTTTGCGCGCTTTCGCCCGCCTACGACTCGACCATGCGCTACGCCGCCGTTGACTGGGCCAAGAACCTGCGGACGCTGCCGGTGACGCATGCCACCCGCCTCCGCATCGCCACTGGCCTCACCACCTCTGCGACGCCTCTCCGCCTCCGGCGGTGGCACCGCGTCCCGAACGCCGCTGTCACCACGCACGCCTCTTCACCGCCCAGACCTCGACCATCCTCAAGCGCATCTCCTCGCCGCTCCTCTTCAACGTTCTCGTCACGGCGCGCTCTCGCACACCCACCTCCGGCACACCAACAGTCACCTCCTCAAGGCAGAGGCAGCCACCTCCGCTGTCAGCCACCTCCGCTGTGCCAACGCGTCCGCGGCGACCGCGGCCACGCGCCACGCGCCCTCTCCTCCTCTCTCGGAGAGGGCGGCGGCGGCGCGGCAGGCCAGAGCCGCGGGTCGGCCCAGCAGCGCTGCAGTCTCCGAGCAATCTCCGAGCAATCTCAGAGCAATCTCGGAGCAATCTCGGAGCAATCTCCCGCGGCGGGCAGCCCACCCTCGCCCGACCTACGCCCGACCTACGCCCGACCTCCAGGTCCTCATCTGCGCGTCCCAAGCCTTTGGAGGGCCGCTGCCGCCGCTGCCGCCGCTGCCGCACCAGCTGCTCGGCAGTGCGCTCGGCCTGCTGCTGGTGTTCCGCACGAATGCGGCATACGACCGGTTCTGGGAGGCGCGAGATGCGGACGAGATGCGGACGAGATGCGGACGAGATGCGGACGAGAGCAGAGGGCGGGAGAGGTAGAGGAGAGGGAGACCGAGAGAGAGAGAGAGAGAGAGAGAGAGAGAGAGAGAGGGAGAGAGAGAGAGAGAGAGAGAGAGAGAGAGAGCCGAGTGTGGCCAGCTCTTGCGAAGCGGAAGTGGTAGCGGAGATGGAGCCACGTCCAAGACGCGTGCCCTCCGTGGCGTGTGCGCGGCCCTGCAGGCGAGGAAGCAGTGGGGCGTCGTCACGTCGGAGTGCCGCGCGCTGGCCGGCCACGCAGTGACCTTCATGACGCCGCAGCAGGCGGCTGCACACAAGCACTCGGCCTCACCTCGGCCTCACCTCGGCCAACCTCGGCCTCGCCTCGGCCTCACCTCGGCCTCACCTCGGCCTCGCCTCGTCCTCACCTCGGCCTCACCTCGGCCTCACCTCGGCCAACCTCGGCCTCGCCTCGGCCTCACCTCGGCCTCACCTCGGCCTCGCCTCGTCCTCACCTCGCCCGCACCCCTCGGGCATCTCACATCAGGCTTTGCCTCTCCTCTCGCTCACCGCCGCCTTCCCCGTCGTGGCGAAGCAGCCGGGCTGCGAGGCGGCACTGCGAGCCGCGTCTCTCCACGCGCCTCCCTGTGAACAGGTGAAGAGCTACCTGCGAGGCGAGCGCGACTCGCGCCGCCTCAAGGCGTTGCTGGCGCCGTCAGAGGTCGGCAGAGCGTTCGAGACCGCCACCTCGGACGGTGAGCAGCGTCTCTTCTCACCGCCGCCCTGCGGGTAGGTGCTTGCCCTCGACGCGGTCGTCAACCAGCCGCAGTACGTGCTCGCGCGGCTGCGGCAGCTGGCGCAGGCGGCGCGGCAGGTTGGGGTGAGCGAGAAGGAGCGCGAGGTGCTGCTCAAGAGCGTCGGGGTGCTGGGTGCGCCACACCCGCACTGCCACACCTGCCCTGCCACACCTGCCCTGCCACACCTGCCCTGCCACACCTGCCTTGCCACACCTGCCCTGCCACACCTGCCCTGCCACACCTGCCCTGCCACACCTGCCCTGCCACACCTGCCCTGCCACACCTGCCCTGCCACACCTGCCCTGCCACACCTGCCCTGCCACACCTGCCCTGCCACACCTGCCCTGCCACACCTGCCCTGCCACACCTGCCCTGCCACACCTGCCCTGCCACACCTGCCCTGCCACACCTGCCCTGCCACACCTGCCCTGCCACACCTGCCCTGCCACACTTGCCCTGCCACACCTGCCCTGCCACACCTGCCCTGCCACACCTGCCCTGCCACACCTGCCCTGCCACACCTGCCCTGCCACACCTGCCTTGCCACACCTGCCCTGCCACACCTGCCTTGCCACACTTGCCTTGCCACACCCGCCTTGCCACACTTGCCCCCCGCAACCCCGCCACTCCCGCCATCCTTGCACCCTTCCCGCTCCCACCACCGTCCACACACGTGCCCCCGCCGCCCCCGCCCCCGCCGCACCGCCGTCGCAGGCGAGTGCGTCTCGAGATTACCCAGATTGCCTCGAGATTGCCTCGAGATTGCCTCGAGATTGCCTCGAGAGTGCCTCGAGATTGCCTCGAGATTACCCGTAGGCGAGTGCGTCTCGACGTGCGAGCGCATCTACAACACGCCCATCCCGCTCTCGTACTCGCGGCACACCTCGCGCTTCCTCATCTTTTACGCCTCCACGCTGCCTCTCGCCATCGTCGGCGCTCCTTCCGCCGAGAGGAGGCGTGGCCCTCCTCCCCGTGCCGCGTCCACGCCAAGTCCCGCTGCCGCGTCCGTGCAGGCGCACTCGGCTGGGCGACGGTGCCGGTGATGGCGACTCTCTGCTGGGCCCTCTTCGGCCGCCTCGAGAGAGAGGAAGAGGCCGGGTCGGGGCGGCGGGAGGTCGCAACTCGGCCCCCCTGCGAGCAGGCATCCTCGAGATTGGCAACCTGATCGAGGAGCCCTTCACCGCCTACGAGTCGCAGAGGCGGCCGCTGCTGCCACTGACCGAGGCCCGCCGAGAGGACGCCGAGAGAGTAGCCGAGGCGCAGCCGAGAGAGTAGCCGAGGCGCAGCCGAGATGTAGCCGCTGCCGCCGCTCACCGAGCTTCGCCGCCCGCGAGAAGAGAGTCCGTTTGCCGTTGGCCTCAGGTCTGCCGCACGATCCGGCGCGACGTGCGCGCCATCGCACAGTACGCTGCGCTCGCGCAAAACTACTCGACGCCGACGATCGCCCGCGGCGGGCCGGGGCCGCGTCGTGAGCAGCCCGTGCCCGGCCGCCTCCTCATGCATGCCCCCCTGCACAGGCGAGCCCACGTTCGAGCTGCCCGACGGCTTCCGCCAGCTGCGCGCCGTGCTCGCCACCTCCGCCGCCGTAGCCACGGAGGTCTCCGAGGCGGCGAAGAAGAAGGCGACGGGGGGACAGGACGCGTGAGGCCGCTCTTTGGCGGCGCGTGCCGTGTACCGCTGAGTTGGGTGCACAGCGTTTCGACCGACGATCCGCATCCCCAGTTTCACTTTCTTGCTTCTACTGCTGCCAGCGCAGCCGACGTTTGAAGAAAGGGCGAATGACATATTCGACACCCTCGACGACCATCTCGGCTACGGTTCCGACTCCGGCTCCGGCTGGTAGTCGACAAGCTGCCGAGCCCAAATCACGACGTTTGTCGTTTCGTGAATCGCGACGGTGTCTCTTGTTCAGTGGTCGTTACCGTTGAAACGCGCGCGTTTCACAAAAAAGAGACGTTTCACAAAAAAGAGAGGCTAGTTCCATTTCACTCTGACACGCTAATACTGTCCCGTTTTGCTGTTCACAGCTAGGGACGGCCTCTGCGGCAAAGTCAAACCACCCCACCACCACCTCCCTCCCTCCCTACCACCTCCCACCACGGCTAACCTTCGGCTCCCGCTCAGAGGCTCGCCGCGCCCGTGCACCGCGCGGCGGCGGCGCCGAGGCCGGCGCCTTGCACCCGGCCCGCGGCCGGCACCGCCTCGCCCCACAACTGACCGCCCTGCGGCCCCTGCGCAGGCGTACCACAGGCGTCGCTCAAAAAGCGACGCCGGGTGTGGGCTGCTCCCTTGACCCGTCACCCGCCGCGCCCGCGCCCGGCCGCCTCACCGCTCACGGAGCGTGCTCGCCGCCGCCGCCGCGCGTCCCGCGCCGCCACGCATGCCCCTTGCCCTGACGCGCGCTCTGTGCAGCGGCGCAGAGCGCGCGTCCCTGGCACAGACGGAGCAGCGGCCGCGCCAGCGGTCGCTGCTCCGCCCCCCCGTCGCGCGCGCCGCGCGCGCGCTGCCGCCGCCGCCGCCGCCGCCGCCCCCTCCTCGCCGTCTTCCCCACCCTACCCTCTCTCTGTTGCGTGCGCCGCGCAGCCGCGCTGCGCGCCCCCGCCCCCGCCCCCGCCCCCGCTCCCAAGCGCCCCTTCCCCGGTAGGTGTGCGGAGAAAGTAGAACCAATCGAGAGGTGGCAGAAGCCGCCGTGTGTGACACATATTGCGGCACGTGTGCCGGCAGCGGCCAGCGCGCGGCGCGCGCAGCGGCCAGCGCAACAGGCGTTTCAAACAGCAAACGGGACGGCCTGCGCAGCCTCTAACTATCTTGAAAACGTCCAACGGAGCTCCGTGTTGCTCCCAGCGCCCTCCCCCGCGCTTCCTGCGGCCATGGCCGATGATACTAGTATGAGAGGTCATCTGGCTACCGCGAGCGCGACTCAACTCGCCGACGTCGTCCGATGATTGTGCCTCAAAGTCAGCCTCCGGAGGCTATCGTGGGGTCGAGCCGGCAGTAGCCGTGACATGTGGTTCCACCACCCCTCGTATGCTTTGCCTCTGACCGCCACCGTTCCCAGGCTGCCAAATGGGATGGAAAGGAAGGCTCGGCGAGCGTATAGAAGCGTGCTCGACCTCGTCGTGGCAACCTGCACGGCAGCGCTGGTAGGCGCGATGAGCGTCGTGCCACCTGACCCGAGACGGGTCGCAGGCGTCGTACCGAGCGCGTCGAGACCGTGTCCTGATGTGATCTGCACGGGTGAGTCACGTCGGCGTCAAAGGAGCGACGTGCGACCTGTCAGAGCTTGATCTCCGATCTCAGCGGCGTCGAGTCGTCTCCGGCGCGCGACAGAGGTACATCCCCAGGACGCGC